TTCGTCCCCATAAAAGACAATCGATAATCGATTGGTATCAGTCCACCACCAACAAAGACAATCGATAATCGATTAGAACTAGCTCATCTCTTATAAGGCAGTCGATAACAGATCAGAACCAGTTAGACACCAATAAAACCTCAAACTTTGTTAGAATGGCCACTCTTTGCCGGATCAAACCCTATCAATCGATAATTGATCACTTTTAGATCACCCACCTCAGTGTCGAGAAACGCGATATCGACACGGCATCGGGTAGAGGTTGGTCACGACATCGACACGCTCAAGTGTCGTTGAAGATGCGTCACAATACAGCAAAAATCGTGGTCGATTCAAGGTAAGCCGTGCCATCTTCCCCATATTCATCTGAAATCATTCTCTTTTACTCTAGTAGGCTACCGTAACTAAATATGCGAATGATTAGGTGGACATCACGTGATGTGTCGACCGTGGTGGCGGCAATGAGCGTCTATCGTAAGACGATACTCGAGGCCACGATCGACGCACCGATCGCTGAATTGGTCAGTGATGTTTTATATAAGCTTTTGATCTCGAAGCCATGAAGGGGGGGGAAGGAGGAGGGGTAAGTACGGAGGCAGCTATCGCTACATGCAGTGTCCTTCGAAAAGAAGCTATCACTGTGGGCTTCCAGCACCCAACCAATCAATTTCCTTATTCCACAAGGAAAAAGATCACATGGCGCAAACCTAGGAGCTTGTTAGTTTTGTTTTCCACTCATAAGAGTGTCCCAAAAAGATCACTATGAAACCTGATTCTACAAAAAAAATCCCTGTTCCACTCAGAAGATACGACCTGGCTGAAGAGCACATTTGCAACGAATAATTAGGTGGGCGGAGGGAATCGCCGCGAAGGAAATCCCCAACCTGCTCCTAAGCTGAGGTATTGTTTGTCTTAGGAAACGGATGCAGACGGCTTGGCAGAGGGGGGGGGGCGTGACACTTTCGCTACTTCTCATCGACGTGCATTGAGAAGTAGCGAAAGTGTCACGCCATTGCTTGACAAAGGGCGACAGGTATTCTTTCCAAACAGACTTTTTGGTATCACTTGGGTGCTTCACAGGGTTTCACAGGTTTGCTCTTGATGGCTCGACACGTTAACGTGAAGTAGCGAATGTGCAGAATGCCCCCCCCCCTCCGCATAGATAATGAAGAATGAAAAATCCCGGTAATCTCGCCACTCATCCCGTATTTGTTTCAGCTGGTCGTCTCATTGTCGGCCCTTGACCTGAATCGATGGTATGCCTTCCAATGTTTTATGAAGGCGATGGACGTGTTCGATGAGGACATGCATATGGACTGTGATTTTGTGAACCCTGGACAGGTTTGTCTGAATTTGTGGGCTTTTTCGGGCAAGAGACCCAATCCGGGTGTGAATAGTCTAATGGCATTCTTTCTCAGGTCTACTGGCCCAATATCCAGAACCTTACCGTCCGTACCACCGAGCAACAAGCGCCACATCTAGCCAGGTAAGCAGCCGCATTGTGTCATATGTCTCCTACGAATCAATAATCGTGCGCAAATCAGTAACCGTGCACGAAACGTTCTCTAAAGCATCGAGGAGTATTTTTCCACATTCAG